GGCAACTCAAGAGCTTCTCAAGGCAAAGAAATGGAATATACTTCAATGGCTGAGTCAATCACCTAACCTCAACCCGACTGAGTGTTCTTTTCACATACTGAAGACAAAACTGAAAGTAGAAGGACCTATAGTACAAACAAGCAGCAACTGAAGGCAGCTGCAGTAGCAGAAAGTAGTAAGGGAGGAAAGATGTTCATGGGTTCCAGGCTTCATGCAGTCATTGATTATAAAGGATTTATATCCAAGCATTAAAAATAATTAGCTTACATGTTGCTTTCTTATTAGTTTGTCCGTTTACTTTTGAGGACAATGGCTGTAATTACTAAACTCCTAATGCAATATTTTTGTTACACCTCTTGAATTAAAGCTGAAACTCTACACTTCAATAAAATATTGGCGGTGGTGTACGGTGGCAAAACTACTTTAAAAAAACTGTATCACTGTCCAAAACATATGAACCCGACTGTAGCACCTGAAGTGTTGTTGATATTGGACATTATCCAGCTGTTTTATTTTACATAAAAGCTATTCATCTGTGACACTGGTCCAAAACAGATGACCTGGTCAAACAAAACACTTTGTATGCCGAGTCCATAACAGCTGCAAATGTGGGATTATTAATAATAATATATGCCATATTACAGTACATATCGGGTTTAATCTACAGTGACATGCGAGCTGTCAGAAAGGCACGTGCCCCATCATCCCCTACATACCACCTCTCTGCCACTCTTTCTTCAGCTGTAACACAAACGCAGCTAAAACTGGCATACTGAGGAGCCAATGAAGACGTGTGTGTGCACATTAATGGGTGCCTAGTGAGGTTAAACTCAAACTTGATGCAACTAAAGGGCCCCTCTCTCCTGCAGCTATTCCTCTCCTGAGAGATGCAGTACAGATGAGGGCAGAGTAATCAGTGAGATGCTCTTTAAAGATCTGCCCTCACACTCACCCATGCCTTCTCTGTGGCTGCCACAGGCTCCCTTACTAGACAGCCTAAGGCCTCCTGTACACTTGTCTTATAAATCGAATTTGGCTTGTTCTCAAAAGGCTGTTGAACGTGGTGCTTTGTACAACTACCAGGATACCCCGACATCTAGTTTTCATCCACAGTATTTATGTATAAAAGCAGGTAAGTGGCAATGTCAGACATGCTTTGAATTTCCTTCTTCATAAAACATCTGCAAAGCCAATTTATTTCAAGATCTTACTATATTATTTAAATCTTGATAGTAGAAGTATTCTTCCTGTTTTTTTCTGTCACATTATTGTGTATATTTGCTTGTTACTGTCATCACCTGTCAATCAGCCAACTCAGTGTCTACAGTATACTGTATCTGACCTGCAGGCTTGTGTGTGTGCTCGTGCATTCTTGCAAGTGTGCAAACAGAAACAAAGCAGGGACCCACTCATCACCCAGACAGCCTATAAATTTACCTATCTGCACTTCTAAGTACAACAAATGCCACGTAACCCTAAGTAACTGCTGTTGGTCAGTGTGTGCGTGGTTTCATTCTGAACAGAAACCCAGCGGTTTAAAGAGATAAAACTGATTTCCCAGTTTAACAGAGACAATTTATAAAACACAGTGAAAACAAAAAAAGACAGTTTCATTTGTTTTTAATTAAGTAAATGTGACAATTGTAATATAAACTTAAAATCATAACATCACCCCTGCAATTTTGAGGGAAACCACTGAAAAAAATAAACTAAGGAAGCATATTGCTGCCACCCTGGTCTGACATATAAACCCACAATATTAGTTTATCATTAGAACAATAAAATACAGTATCTTGGTATAATGTGAAAAGTATCTTGTGAAAACGAGAGAAGTGTCTCATTATAATGAGATACTGAGCACATTTTTTTGTCTTATGATGACAGCTATACGTTGCCGCAGTAAACAGTCTTTTCAACTTGGCTTTCTATTAGAAAGCAGTTTTTTATGACTTCATAACTGGTCCTCTGATAATAAAAACCTGTGGCACTACTTTCCCAATATTTACAGAACGATGGTTGTTGAAATCACATATTAATTTGCGTTGTTTTCCTAGTACTTTGGAAACTCGCCTGATATTTGCATATTATTCGGGTATAACCGCAGCCTAGCACGGTCACATTATCTAAAAGCTAAGCAGGCCAACAATGGAAGAAGAAAAAGGTTCAAGCCAGTTACCTTACAGATTGGTAAATAAGACATTCTAAAGCTCTTCCACTGATTCAAGTTCCTGCTACATTTCATATCTGTCGACATCGTCCTCTGACCTGTGTTCATTTCAACTGAAGCAAACTATTCAAAAAAGTCAATAAATGTTTCTGATATAGTAAACATGGGTAATTCACACTGAATATACTCAAGGCTGAGTTATCATTTCATCAGGCAGTGAGATTATGTTTGTATGTGCATTTGAATGCAAACAGTATTACCTCAGCCAAAATTCAGTCAACCATCTTACTCATTAAATAGTTGTAAACTGCTAATGGCCAAGTGGTTAAAAGCCACTTGATTGAATGTGGCCATCAGCACACTTCAGTAGCATGGTGCTCCACTGAGCCCACACCTCCACTGCTTATAAGGTGCATTAAGCATGAGCTAAAGGAATTAAAAATCTAAATGTAAGATGAAGTAGTAAAGTCAGCAGCCCACAGGAGGAGTTTCTCAGCTGTTTCTAAAAACTAAGGCCTGAGTCATGCTCAAAGATTCTGCAGAATCCATAGCAATTTGCAAGGAATGTACAATACTGAATGGTTTGCTGGTGTCTCATAACTGCGAGATGCAGGGTTTTATCCAGTCAATAACAATACTGATAATGATGCAGATTAGGCGGCAGTGTTTCCAGTTTCCAACGACTTTTTCTGAAAGTCTGCAATCGCTGACGAAGAGAATCACTTTAATTAAACTCAGATGAACAAAAAACCCTGAAAATGTTACACCAAAATAAATATTAACAGCTAAATCTTGGCTCTTCTGCATTTTTTTGAAATAGTAGGTCAGCCCTGATATGTCTCCATGTCGTAGTGGGGAAAGCTAATTAAAAGATAATTCACCTTTGTTATCAGTCACTGATGAGCTTTCACACCTTGACCATACAAACATCATAGAAAATAGTGACTTTACTGATCGAACCATTTCGTTTACATCATGTCAGTTCAATGAACGGTGGCGCCATCATGTTGACACAGACAACATCCAGTGACCCTTCTCATTAACATGAAATTTGTTACAAGTTGTTTGCTTGTTTATTTCTCTACTCATTCAGATTCTTTTTTAATTGGTCATTCATCTGTAAGTGCAAAATTAACATTTTAATTAACAGGTGTAAAGGTCATAGGAGAAATAAAAAAGACTCATAAGAGAGGAAAATAATCAATAGCTAAGCAGCTTCCCCCGTGGAATAATAAAGTTCTTTGAATCTGTCTTTCTGTTGTTGGAATGTTCATTAGTCTGCAGCATATTTTAGTTTACTGCCATATAGAAAATCTTCCATTGGAAGTTCACACTCCATTGGCCAATGTTCACCACCCATCTAACATTTTATGTCTGACATAATACTCCACCAGAGCTGAGCCATAAAGCAATAGTTTTCCTATTACTGATCTAATGTATATCAGAATATTACAAAGAAACAACTTTAACAGCTCATCTTGTTATAACCTGTTATAACCTAATTAAAATCTGCTCAGAGTAATTTTTGTATATACACACATATTACTGTGATACGATTCCATTGTGAATCCTTAAATGAGAATTATACCCAGCCCTATCCCACACACACACTCTTGAGTTGAGGAAGCAAAACAAAATCAGGATTTACGGCAAAGGAGAAACATTTTCTGTGAATGATGAAGGGAAAAATGAAAATAGGCTGTCACACTGTCGTACTGTAACATAATGATGTCGTGTCTCTGTAGTGATGCAGCATCTTACTTTCAGTGAAACAGTACCTGGCATTCATGCCACTAGAAATTAAATAAGAAAAGCATAATTTTTATTGTTTTGTTTTTGTAGATTAAACAAAATTTAAACATTCATTATTTTTATTTATTTTATGTTCACATACATCAAAAACTGCTGCTGTTAGGAACGAACGATATCCTTCAGGTTTGATGCTTTCAGAAACAGGAAGTGAACTGTGAGAAGAAACTGAAACAGACCTGCTGATTTCTGCCAGAATTCCTCAATTCAATAAAGGAAAATAGTGCAGTACTAAACAATGACACCACATATTGTTTTTCCAAAAAAATAGAATAAAAAGCAAATTAACATTCGTTAAATATATTGACAAGACACAGGAGAGCACTGCTGAACTCACACAAAAGGCAGCTGCCTGGATACCAGAGACAGTGCCACATCGTCCCACAGCTCCAGCTACACTTCCAATAAAAAAAGATAAAAACCTAGGTCTTAGATAATCCTTGAAACTCCCCCTTTGGGTTAAACTAAATCTTTGGTGAGGAGGAAAATTAGTTTAGCATACCCTGAATCTGCTATAATATTGTTTTAGTTTTTGCGACTGAGTCGGGTTTGAAAAATACCACGTACAGTTCTTCAAAGCAAGTAGAAAAACACTGACATTTCACTTGTACACGGGGTCTGTACCAAACCATCATGGATGTGTCATTCACATGGTGGATCAGTGCTATTAAAGAGGCAGTGAGCAGACAGGATTCTAATAGCCTTGAACTACAGCTCCTGAATGCAACAGCAAACAAAAGAAAAAAACAAAAAAATGGGGCTTGTAAGTCAGGGGGGAAGAAAGAAAGGAGACATAAGTCCAAGCACATGAACACAAAGCAAGCATGCCATCATAAAATATTGGTGAATCCTTGTTTGGGCATGAGGGCAAAGCCTGTGCAGCTGTAACTGCAGCAGTGGCAGGAACAGAAGTTTGGACAGAGGAGGAAAGAAAAATGGAGGAAGACAAGAAACCAGCACAGTAAAATGCAGAGTAAAGGACAAAAAAAAATAAAAGTTCTAGAGCTCTAGAGAAAACACTTACCAAACAGCCAGTCATTCTAAGCCCCAGCTTTAGCTGTGGCCACAGCTACAGTGCAGCAGACTGACATGTTTACGCCAAGAGCAGGATCCCTCGAAGGGCTGCCTCTCAACAATCACAGGAAAACCTCACGCAAAAGCACAGTGGGAAAGAAAAAACACACTCACACTAGACTAGTCTCTGACCTCTCCTGATTTTCACTCTCACTCCTCCTTGTATTTGCCTCTCGAACTCTGCTAGACACTAAGGAGGACAATCATTTTACAGCCTCGACTCTGTAGCAGGAATCCCCGCGGAGGCATGTCTCCAGTCAGTCACTCTGAACGCCAACAGATCACACAGGCGACTCGCTCCTCCTGCTCCCCTGCACGGATATCTGCTCTAACCGGACGAGCCACTGAGGAATAATCAAGGGAAGGAAGTGACATCGACAGGTGCTCCCTCAGTCCTTCCTCCCTCACTCCTGTAAATAAAATGCACTTTCCTGCAATAAGCCTAAATGGAAATTCTGTGGGCTATTTTATAATAAATACTAAAGAACACATTTACTTCTTTCCAATTGGAAGAAAAAAAGAGGTATGCAAGGTTTCGCAAGCAGAGAATTAACATCAATAATTATGAGCAAACCCTCTTTAGCCCGGTTTGCCCTTTGCTGGATTCCTAGGAACATGGAGAATGGAAGCAAAGTCAGAAGAGAAA